CATGGATGGGTTCAATCAAAAGGTGCCATGTTCTAAGTTGTTTAACACATTTAGATGTAAATATCAGAATTTCAGCTTCATCTATCATCTCACTTTCATCTTTTGATCTCAAACCCCAATGTCGTCAGTTTACAGTAATAAAAGAATTGGCCTTGCTGTTCCAATACTTTCAGAAGGGACTGCATTTCCCACACAAACTTACTACTTGTCTCACATTTGATCTGTTTGCATAACCAATGCACACTTCTAGTCAGCAGTGTCAAAGGCTGCCTTACATCAAACAGAACCAAAATGTAAACATACACAATCTGAGACAAGTAATAGTTCATGGCCCACTTTAACCACTGCTGATTCTGTAATACTTCTAACAAGTCTGATGATTAAGGGTTCAGTGCAGTAGGAATAAAGACACAATGAGCCTGTGAGAAACTTTAAAGTTAGTTCCTTTATATTGAGTGTAATGCCTCCTGGAAAATGATGCTTCTGGGTCCTTCTATGCCTCTCCAATGACAGCAACTCCCCTGAGTAAGGGCAAGAGCTATGACTGGGCAGCAGATGCTTAAGCTTTGTGATTCACTGTGCAGTAAAAGATTTGTTTGAGATTAAAGAAGGAATATCAACAGATTCCTCAAAGTGACATGCAACACACCAGCACACATTTTGTTTGTTTTATTTTTGGAACTAAAAGAATTCTATGTTTTCTCATAAGAATGGAACTAAGAAATGGTATTTGATCTCTTACATTGTAATAAGAGGCAACATACATATCCATACACCAAGAGTTAACTCATTAAACAAGTACTTCTAGTCCACAGGTCAAGCTGAAAATTTTAGCCACCTATCAGATTTTCTCCACCTTTCTATACTTGAATTATCAGAAACCTATATACACACACACACACACAAGTCTGCATTCCTAAAAAATACTCAGGCTTCAAATAATGTCAGAATTGTACTTGGCTTCCTGATGACCATTTATTCCCCAAAAAAAAAAAAAAGGGGGGGGGGGGGGGGGGCTTCTCCTTTGAGGAAGTGAAGAGACTATTTATTTCTGCTGAATATACAAAGAAGAATAAAAACAGAAAACAGATACCACTTAAATTATATTCTCTTTTTCACTAGACAAGCAATGAAGATCATGCTATCAATACACAAGAGGTCTAAATCTACTGGTCTACTGGTAAATATCAGCAAGTATGAATAGCGCAGTGCAACCAGTAAATGTGTTTTTGGGAGCAATCCTTACAGTGTGACATTGTCTGGATGAACTTTATTTCTCTTCACACCACTGGTTCTCCTTGCGTACCTGCATGAAATAGAGTGCAGATTTAGTTTTTCGCAGACATCAGCCTATGATATCAAAATCAGATTCTTTTATATGGTCACTTTGGTATATTTAGATAAACTATGATCATTTTTTAATTTATAGGAATGAATGATAATTTTCTAATTTATAGGAGTAATTCAACAACAGAACTGGATGTGTGGTATAATTTTCAAGACAATCAGTTCTGAAGAACCACAGATGAGCAGCAAAAACATCTTTTCAAACAACTGCCCCATAGGTTGTTTAGACATGATTCTAATGATTCTAGACACTTCAGTGCCCTGAATGAGGCAACCATCAAATGTCACTTTATGCAAAAGTTCTTGGATTCTTTTTTGACTTCCATCTCAAGGGAAATAATTGATATCAGTGAAATGCAACAGAGGATAGTCCTGCTGATGTGAAAACCCACATTACATGCTGACTTTCCAAGAAAACTCTAGTGTGCTTCAATTGCAGTGAGAAAGCAACTCAACCATGAATAGATCTGCAGAACTGTAGGAAGTGAACCATAAATTCTATGTGGTTTGGGATGTGGGCAGCAGTTGTTTTTTTTTTTTTTAAATGCAAATTGCTAAACTGACCCACAGATGAGAGCTGAAGTACTGCAGAAAAACAACGTGTTCTAGATATCTGGACCGAGTTTAAAAAAAAAAAAAAAAAAAAAAAAAAAGTTGGATGTGGTACACAAAATTTACTGTATTACAGAACAAAATAGTTTACCATATTATCTAGCATTTATATTATTTAATATTTTATTTAGCACCAAAATACATTTGTAATCAAAAATGATTACTGCTTTTACTGAAGATCCTTTCAACACACTTAGTACTGCTTGAGTCTATATTATACAGTTGGGGAAAAGTAATAATTGCACTTTCCAATGTCACCCAGAAGAGAATGGTTTCCCTTTTGAGTTGGGTTCCACTCAAGTTTTCTTTCAGTGCGGCAGGGTGCATTATCCTGCTGAAAGAGGCCACTGCCAGTAGGGAATACTGTTGCCATGAAGGTGAGTACTTGGTCTGCAACAATGTTTAGGTAGGTGTTACGTGTCAAAGTACTGTCCACATGAATACCAGGACCTAAAGTTTCACAGCATTTTTCCCAGAACATTGCCCAGAGAATCAGACTGCCTCCGCCGTCTTGCCTTCATCCCCTAGTGCATCCTGGTGCCATCTCTTCCCCAGGTAAACGACATGCACCCAACTCATCATTCATCAGACGAGGCCACCTTTTTCCATTACTCCATGGTCCAGGTCTGACGGTCACGCACCCATTGTAGGCAGTGGACAGGGGTCAGCATGTGCACTCTGACTAGTCTGCAGCTACGCAGCAAGCTGTGATGCACTGTGTGTTCTGACACCTTTCTATCATAGCAGTGACTTTTTCAGCAATTTGTGCTACAGTAGCTCTTCTGTGGGATAGGACTAGATGGGCTAGCCTTCGCTCTCCGCGCGCATCAATGACCTGTGGGCGCCCACGACCCTGTTGTCAGTTCACCAGTCCTTCCTTTTGGTAGATACTAACCAATGCATACCAGGAACACCCCACAAGACCTGCCGTTTTGGAGATCCTCTGAGGCAGTCGTCTAGCCATCACAATTTGGCCCTTGTCAATACACTTGCCCATTTTTCCTGCTTCCAACACAACAACTTCAAGAACTGACTGTTAACTTGCTGCCTAATATATCCCACCCCATGACAGGCACCATTGTAACAAGATAGACAATGTTATTAACTTCACCTGTCAGTGGTTTTAATGTTATGGATGATCGGTGTATAAATCAACTGAATTGAAAATGAATTACATAGTTGTCCTCACATTGCCTTTACAGACTGTGCATTAATGTACACAAGAAAAACATGCACAAATCTTTACTGCCAACACTTTTTACTGTGCTAACAGAAATATTTTAGACATACATACAAAAAAGAAAGTTTTTCCATGCCAGGGATAAATGAAATCAATGTTTTCATGGTATGGTACAAATGGACTAATAGGATAAGTCTATTGTTTCCCTTACCTGAGCTTCCTCTTCCTCTGTGAAGTCATTTTTAATATTGAACGTCTTCCTGATTTCTTCTGGGGTTTTACCTTTAATCATATTTGCAACTGTTTTGCAGGTGACATCTAGCAATCCTTTGATGTCCAAATAATTTGCAGCCTAAACAAGGGAAGCAAAACGCATGTAAGGGGAAGAGTGAAAGACGAACCTATTATAAAGTGATGCAAATGGAACCTACTCTTAATCATGCCATGTGTAACCATTCTTGCATCCATTTTTGCACTCACATGACAAACTTAGCTAGTGTTCACTATTGATGACATAACATTTTTTTTTTCTGCAGGGCATAGCAATAATCATAGCAACAGAAAAAACTGAAATATGCACTTTGTCTGAGATCCAGGAAAGTTTAACTTAACAGGGAAATAGAACAATGCAGCCCACATTTTTGGTGAGTTTACCAGCAACTCATTCTATTAATCTATTTAAATAAAATTTTACCTTAAAGACTTTATTGTACTCACTATGCAAACCCAAATAATCACTAAATGCATTAGCTAAAGCTCTTAAAAGACATAATAAAAACAGACCAGAATGAGCTCAAAGAGTGTGCCCTGGTCCACTTTGAGGAACTCCTGATCCCACACAGGGATGTCATCTGTCCTCTTCTCTTTGTTCTCATCATCCTCAGGGGGGGGAGGATCATCTTTGTGATGCGTGCACCACTGAATTACCTGAATACATGTGTGTGTGCGCATGTGTGTATTTTATTATATATATATATATATATATATATATATATATATATATATATATATATATATATATATATATATATATATATATACACACACACACACATATATTAAAAAAAAAAAAAAAAACACACACACACACAATAAGTGCAATCAGTCCTGTAAGCCAAGAGCTCAACATTACACAAATTTTCTGCTCAGACACCTGATTTAAATTTTATTACGATGCTATATAGACATACATACATACATAAATAAATAAATAAATAAATAAATAAATAAATAAATAAATAGAGATGCGTGCACACCCTTTTGCAAAAAGACCCAAGTAGCCTAGCAATCTGATGCTACTTGGTTATAATCTGACTGAAGAATCCAGTTCTTATTATGAATTACCACTAAAAGACAGACAATGCTATTTGGCTAATCTAACACTTTCTGATGGCGTAACTCTAGAAGATCCTTATGGCTTGGCACCCTGCCAGTGGCAAAATGATCCTAAGTGGTGGCATAGCCTGCAGTGGCCAGACATATATACATACAGTGGATATAAACAGTCTACACAAACATGTTAAAACTGCACATTTTTGTGATGTAAAAGATAAAACCAAGGTAAATCATGTGAGATCTTTCTCCAGGCTCCAGTTATAACACTAATAACACCATAATGTGTTTCTTTTTGGCCTATTTTGTAGTCCTACACAAACCTAGATAACACACTGTCTGACTTCTGAGCAGCAGCAAAGAAGCAGCAGCTTTTGTCACATATACATTAAGGCACAGTGAAACTCTTTTTCATCACAAATCCCAGCTTGTTAGGAAGTTGGGGTCAGAGCACAGTTAGAGCCATGATACGGCACCCCTGGGGCAGACAGGGTTAAGGGCCTTGCTCAAGGGCCCAACAGTGGCAGCTTGGCAGTACTGGGGCTTGAACCCCTACCACCTGATCAGTACCCCAGAGCCTTAACCGTTGAGCCACCACTGCCTTCCAAAGCTGTGAATGTTGTCACTCGCAACACATGAGGGTTTAAATTAAGAAAATTAAACAGCATATTGTTTACCAAGGCTACTTCACCATACAAGAATTCGGTAAGTATCTGGAGTGTTATTAGTGTTATCATTATGTATTTCATAATGAGCTTGGCTAATAACCTGTCATGTTTGTACTTACTCCCAGCCTCAGTTTTGCAGCATTTCTGATCTTGTTAACAAGTATTTAACCCCCTAAAATCCTGACTAAATGCTAAAGCTCGCGACTGCAGCTACAGACAACTCGTAACCAGCTTCCAGTACTTTTCCCTCTATAATGACGTTATGTGTACGCATTACATATGTTTTGCCACGCTAACTGCTCTCTTCAATCGGCAATAGTTAAGGGGCACAATAGGACAATAGCATTTTACACGCAATTTACAGCATATAGACTGGAACCACAATTTATACTTGGGTATCTTATGGGTTCCACCTGGCACATATTTATTGAGATGATCAGCTTATGTAGTAATAATAAGCAAAACATGCTGCAAAGTTGGATACTGAACCTTTTTGAGGATGGCCGCATTCACATTTGGAAGAGGGACGGGATCATCATCCCCCTCATCATCCATGCCTAAATCTATTAGATAAAACCAGACCCAGTTAAAAATAGCAGAAAAATATCCTTTAATAGATTTCAGATAATCACAAATTATATAAACCAAATCTTTATAACTTGCTTGAATTAAAACAGCAAACAGTGGCATGGCTGCCACAAGTAAGTTACCTTCCAACATTGTCTTTATAGTCACGGATTGCTTGGCGATTTCAACATCCACCTCAAACATCTCTCCGTCGGAGCTTTGCAGCTTAATTGTTGGCATCTATGAAAAATTGTTACCCTACAATTAATAAATAACTTATTGCCATAATAGTTACTTAAGGTAGACTGATATGGATTATTTGCTATTCTAAATTAGCCAGACGGACTTTTTGAAACCATTATGGTATCTTATACATTTTATTCTATAACAATAATAATATTAACAATAAAGTAATAAAACAATTTAATTTATCTACTTAAGGTTAACAATCATTAGTTAGCTAACACTGAGAGATATTAGCGCTAGTTCACTAACTGTTGTTGGTGTTGTCGCCACTATTTTATCAACAAAATTGCAATTCCGACGGGGCTGCAATCATACTGGCGGAACGAGCTCGTCAAACGCTCTCGAAGGAGCTTCATTTGCTGGCTAGGGCGCTAGATCTTGTGCCAGCAATAAACAGACTTTGTCTAAAAAATGTCTGCTAGTATGCTAGTTACCAACTAGCAATTTCAACAAACAAGCTCGGAGCTGATATTGGACTGTGTCAAGGCCTAGCAACCATTAACTAACATGTGAGCAAAATGCGGCAAAACTGGAAAACATGTTTTCATTACGACTTATCATCGTAAACATTTACATTTATATTATTCAATAATATGCCATATACTTACAGTGACTATATTCCTGAACGATTCAAAGACAAAATGTAAACGTCGATAAGGCCCGTCACAACGGCAAAGCTTCTGCTTCTGCTTCTGCTTCTGCTTCGTCTTCTTCTTCTTCTCCTTCTTCTTCTTCTTCGTCGTCGTCGTCGTCTTCTTCTCCTTCTTCAGCTTCAGTTTTTTAAATGCACTTTTTGTGCATTACCGCCATCCACTGGTCTGGAGTGTAAACTAGTTGGGCTTATAATGAACATTACGTTTGGTGCTTCCTTTGGGTATTTGCAAGTTCATTACCTACCATCCCAACATGACTTGGAATCCATACAGACTATGCCTGCATAACCATCGCTTTAATCCAATATAAAACCATTAATGCTTCAAATAAAAGATCTAGTACACTTTAAGATTTACCTGATTGTACACTCGTCAGCACTGAGCAGGAATCTGAGCATGTAAGTGTTTCTTCCACTTTGACCTCCTCCATCCATTACTGCTATTATTTCAGCTGAGAATACTAACAGGTTATCTGTTAGCCATCTTGCCTTCTTTGTTCTTATATCTGGAATCACAAATGTAGCAAATACAGCTTGCTTGGTTATTTACATAACCCAGTTGCTGGGTTGAGTCAATTTGCTGGGCTGATATTATGTTAACCCAACTTTTGCATAACATTTTTTTCCAATAGAAACTTAAAACCAATGGTTAAAGTCACAGAGATCACATTTTTTCCCCATTCTGGTGTTTGATGTGAACATTTACTGAAGCACTTGACCTGTATCTGCATGACTTTGTGCTGCTGCCACATGATTGGCTGATTGGATAACTGCATGAATGAGCAGGTATACAGGTGTTCCTATTAAAGTGGTATTAAACTGGTGAGTGTATATCTATACACACACACACACACACACACACACACACACACACACACACACACACACACACGCCATTTTAGCATCCCCTTTGTTTGTTTTTTTCCCGCCATAGCCTCCCTAATGTGGTAGCTTAGTGGTTAAGATGCTGGACTCCTGATCGGAAGGTTGGGAGTTCAAATCCCAGCACTGCTAGGCTGCTACTGCTAGGCCCTTGAGCAAGGCCCTTAATCCTCAACTGCTCAGTTGTATAAATGAGTTGCTCTGGATAAGGGCTTCTGCCAAATGTAAAAATGTACTTTTTTTTTTTTTTTTTTTTTCACTGTAAATCTCATGCTTGAGAATGGCCCAGAAGTTCTCAATAGGATTTAAGTCAGGTGAGCAGAGGGGCCAGGTCATCATTCTGTCATCTTAGATGCCTTTGCTGGCTAGCCAAGCATAGATGGAGCATAGTCCTGCATAAAGATCATGGCCTTCTTGAATGTTGCTGACCTCTTCCTGTACCACTGCTTGAAGAAAGTGTCTTCTAGAAACTGGCAGTAGGTTTTGGAGTTGATTTTCAGTCCATCTTCAACCTGAAAACGTCCAACTAGCTCATCATTAATGATACCAGCCCACAGCAGTACCCCTCCTCCACCTTGCTGGTGCCTCACTCTAACTGGTACTCTGTTCCCATTATTGATCCGCCCACGGGCCCACCCATCTGGTCCATCTAGAGTCACTTTCATTTCATCTGTCCATAAAACGTTTGAGAAATCTGTCTTCAGGTCTTTCTTGGCCCAGACATTACGCTTCAACTTTTGAGTCTTATTTTTAAAAGACTCTTATTATCCTCTGATCGGCATATTACAATTTTTGACTTTTCAGTCTCAGTTAAATCTCTTTTTTGGCCCATTTACCTAATGTAGAGAAGCTGCCTAATTATTATGCACACCTTATAATTAGGTGTTAATCACTTTAAACCACACCCTCCCTCATTAAACAATTAAACCTGAAAATACTTATACTCAGTTAGCATTCAGGTTTATATGGTTAAGAGTTGGATATTGGTGCAAATATAAACTTAATGGGAAGGTTATAAAAGGAAAACATACAGGCAGACTAAGGAAGACGTCAAAGCTTCAGGATAGAAAACTCAAAGCAATATGCCTTGAAAATAGAAAATGCACAACAAAACGAAAAACAAATGGGTGGAAACAGGAGTCAATGTTTGTGAAAGAACTGTAAGAAACCGGCTGAATGAGATGGGATTTACACATAGAAAAGCCAAACGAAAACCAGCACTAACACCAAAACAGAAGAAAACAAGGTTACAATGGGCTAAGGAGAAGCAATCATGGAGTGTGGATGATTGGATGAAAGTGATATTCAGTGATGAATCACAAATCTGCATTGGCCAAGGAGATGATGCTGGAACCTTTGTCTGGTGCCGTTCTAACGAAACATATGAAGATGA